TGTGGGCAAGGACTCGAGTAAGAAACAGAAACATCGCAACTCTATAAAGAGGGAAAGAAAAGCAGCCAAGACTCTGGGAATCATTATGGGGGTTTTTCTTCTCTTCTGGCTGCCCTTTTTTACCGTTAATATCGTTGATCCATTCATTGAGTACGGGACTGCTGGTGTGATTTGGGACGTGTTCCTGTGGTTGGGGTACGTCAACTCCTCCCTAAATCCTTTTCTCTATGGTTTCTTTAACCGTTCCTTCCGTAGGGCTTTCCTCATGATCATGGGATGTAGAATATGTCTGTATGGCACAGCTCAAGGAATGGACCTCTCTCACTCGAAAAGAGATGCCAGTGAGCGCACAGAAAACCAGTAGACTGTAGCGGCAGTTCATCTGTTTTAATAAAATGATCCAAATGTGTTCCGGTCCACCCCACACAGCTATATATGTATAGGTTGTTGAACACGAGTTCAACGTTTTTCATTCATGACTTCATAGATGTAAAACATTAACTAGATGAGTACATCATCATGATTTATGATTTATTACGCATGATCATGATGGTTTCTTTGTTCACAGTCATCCCAGCATTAAAGGGTTAGTTCACCCAAAAATGAAAATTAAGTCATTAATTACTCACGCCCATGCTGTACCAACCCCGTAAGACCTTTGTTCGTCTTCGGAACACAAATTAAGATATTTTTGATTAAATTTGAGAGCTGTATCACTACCACATAGATTGCCTGAGGGACTGGCTCTTGACGGCCCAGAAAGTCAATGAAGAAAATGTTTAAATTTTCCATGTGACTACCATGGCTCAACTACAAGTTTATAAAAGCGATGAGAATACTTTTTGTGCGAAAAAACAAACAAAAGTAACGACTTTATTCGACTATTCCTTTTCTTCCTTGTTGGCCTGAAACGAGACTTCAATACGATTTCCACGACGCATGCGCGAGAATTGCGATCTCCTTCAACTACTTCAGTTCAATTCTCGCGCATGCGTCGTGGAAATCGTATGGAAGTCTCGTTTCAGGCCAACAAGGAAGAAAAGGAATAGTCGAATAAAGTCGTTATTTTTGTTTGTTTTTTCGCACAAAAAATATTCTCGTCGCTTGATAAAATTATAGTTGAGCCGCTGTGGTCACATGGAATATTTAAACATTTTCTTCATTGACTTTCTGTGCCGTCAAGAGCCAGTCCCTTAGGCAGTCTATGTGGTAGGGATACAGCTCTCAAATTTAATCAAAAATATCTTAATTTGTGTTCCGAAGATGAACGAAGGTCTTATGGGGTTGGTACAGCATGGGGGTGAGTAATTAATGACTTAATTTTCATTTTTGGGTGAACTAACCCTTTAAAGGAGAACTCCGGTAAATTTTAACATTGAGCTAATTTTTTTGTACATGTGTACTAATTTTTTTTTTTTTTTTTACATTTCGTGTCTTAGGCCATCAATGTGTACTTACATTTACGAGTCATTCAATCATGTTTAATTTTGACTTCTCTGTGCATGCTCTTTGAGGTGAACCGAGGGGGGGAGGACCCCCTAAACCTCCATTATATGACTGACAGACAAGAACGGTTTGACCGAAAAATATCAAAATTGAAAATACTGTGGAAACAAAGACACCTACATCTTGGATGCCCTTGAGGTAAGCTAAAACATATCAAAAATTAATTTCAAAGTGAACTATCCCTTTAAAATTGACTGGAGTTACCCTTTAATAGCACATTGTTCATCAGTGTTTCAAAGGACCTGGTCACCATTTTAGCTGAGGGGCCAGACACATGATGAAGTCAGTGATAGATAATGCTTAGGTGACTACTACTGTATTTGAATGTCAACAGAATTTGTGTGCTATGAGCTGTGATTGGTCTATTTTGGTGTCTGTCCAATACAGTAGTCATCATGAACTAAGCTTTATCTATCAATGACTTCATCATGTGTGTGGCCCCTCAGCTAAAATGGTGACTTTGAATTCATGATAGTTCATTACTGTAAAGTGTTACCATATGATATACACATGATAACTCTCTGGGTCAGCGGCAGCACCAACTCAAATTTGAATGTGTGATTTTTTCAAAGATTTAATCGATTCAGACGAATTGTGGGTTTTTGAATCTCAATCTCGATCTTTTAACAATTAATCATGCAGCTCTACTGAAAATATATGCCGTATGGGTGACCAAAGGTATTCTTTGATAGATTTAAAAGATTAACACATTATGGAACCTCACAATGTGTTCCAAATAATAATAAAAATGACATGACTTGAATCCCAGTTAAATGGGAATAACCCAGCCAGGACTAACAGCACAGTAAGCCATAAAGTGCATGTAAACATTGTGATTTGGTGTTGAACTTCCTGTAAAATGTATTCTTCCACTTATTTATGTTTACTCTGTGAATAAATAAGATGTCTGGCTTGCATTTATATTTTTTCCTCAGATTTGGAGCTCTTCAGCAAATTATACATAATTGTTTTGTCTTTTGGTCACAAACAGTTCTTTACCTTTTGAATAATGCGCATTCTGAGGTACAAGCTGTTACAGTTGAATTCTAAAATGGTTACATTTTAAACACACATTATGTCCTTTTTCAGAAAAACTTCTGGTATGTTTAACAAAATATGGCAGTCTGATAACAAACACGATGAGGAACGACCAAGAACAGAAGGTTTTTTGGCATTTGAGAGAGAAGTTACAGTACACATACCCTGTACATAGAGTCCCTGTCAAAAAAAACACTCCGAAGGCATGTGACACATCCTGCCCTGTCACAGATTTGAACCAATGACCCGTAGAACATCAGAGTCATTGCTAAAATATGTAGCCTATGAGAACAAATAATGAAAAAAATGATGGAAATTAAATCAAATAGTTGTGATCACACTTTCTTGATATAATTCTTATGACATGCTGCACAGAGAAATGGCACCAGCTGGTCTGCCTGCTTCAATAATGAGGTAAGCAAAGATAAAGGAGCTGGAGGCTGGGGGTTCTCAAAAATGGATAGAATTTTAATAATGGAACTCATCTCTGGAAAACATTTAGCATCATGCTATGTTTTTTAAACGAAGCTAATGTTCTGTTAAGTCTTTGCCCAGCCAGTCACTGCAAGGCTCTTCTAGTTAGACTTTTATGGCACTTCACAAGTTCACATCTACTTATAATTATTACGGTAATACATAGGCCTACTTGGTTTGCTGTCCGGTTGGAGGACTCCGGAATTTCTGCCCGAACCCAATTACCCGAAAATCATTTAGCGAATGACAGTGACGGAAAAACATTTATGTGACAAGCCAAAACATACAAGTGCTTAGCTGCAGGAACCCATTAAGAACTGTTATGCATGTTGATGTTAGTCTTCAGTAATCCGCAGGAAACAGGGGAGGACAGGGACTCACATTGATTTACTCTACGGGAAGTTCTCAGAAATTTTTAATGGAAAAGGAAACCGTTTTTCAAAAAACTTAGTTTGCACTTATATGTAATACTCACGAGTCATTTTCACACCCACAGGCTTGTCACTTTTATAGTTATGCATAATGTGAAATGATTCAGGGTTGTATAATTTGTAGGAATTTGCCTTTTTTTTTATTAACAGCGACCTCTACTGGCCATTTTTTTGGGAGGAAGTGAATGCAACAAATCAGGGAAATGTTGATGGCCAATGATAGTTCAAGATCATACAGTACAGAGCTATACATGTATGAGGATAGCAAATCTATTTATTTATTTTTCTCTTTAATACTTTTGATTGCAGATTTCGTTTCCTGGTAAATCAGAGCACAGCATGTCACATTGTTGAAATCCCTTCTAGAGACAAGCAATGAGTCTCAAAATGTCTTGGAATGTACTGTTTTTTTTTTTTTTTTTTTTTTTGCATAAATGTCATCAGTACTTGAGGAGCATGTACTCCACAATGTTTGTAAAACTTCATAATCATGTTCTCTGGCATGATTTGAAAATGTTTCAAAGAGTTTTGTATGCTTCAATTGGCTTTATGCACAGCTGCACTACTTCCTGAACTTAAGCCAGCTCCTTGTTTCCTGTCTGCCATTATTGGACACATTGATTAATCCAGGTGTGCCTAACCTCAGTAGTCACAGCAACAATAATCAGACACACCTGAATTAATCAAGTCCGGCCAAGAAGTGCAGCTGTGCATAAAGCCAATTGAAGCAAGAACGTCTAACCTTTTGAACAAATGAGTCACATTTGTTTATTTGAGCAGCGACCAAGGCTATGTTCAGACTACCAGCAAAAATCTAATTTGTTGAATATTCAGATCTTATCCGGATGGGTTTTTGAATGTCTGGATGGCACAAAACTAAAAACAGAAACATGAAATCTTTTTATTTTTAAGATTCCAATCAGATTTTTACTGAAACATCTCATTCTGGATGTTCTGGTTGTTCGAATCAGATTTAAAATTTTCCTTTGCTTCACTCAGGCGTCCCTCAACAACAAAGTCAAAACTGGTGACGGAAATGCCAGAATTATTCACATATTCATACTTATGTACCAGTCTCCAGGTTATCCTGTGATCCGACAGGGTGCTTATTTGGAGAAAAGGTGATGCACTTTCATTTTTCCTACATCCGTTTTGAAAGCCTCGTCACATGTCGGCAATGCCTACGTTGTTACCAAATCAACCCATGCAGATACAGTAGGTTGCTTCTGGACACACAACTCATTTGATCACTCACTTGCAATCAATACTGTGGACAGTCTGAACAGATCTGATTTGAGAAACAATCTGATTTCCCTGCAGTCTCAACATAGCTTTTCCCTAGGGATGGTTTTGAATCTTAAATATTACTTCTTATTACTTACTTCTTTTTTTTTATTCTCTGGAGTAAAGCAAGAGTCTCAAATTGATTTCTATATAATCTCATTTCTGCAGAAAATATATTATTAAATACTTTTTTATATTATGGGCATGGTTGTTTGAAGAAAACAATTTAATTATTCTTAGGATGCATCAAATATGAGATCAACAGCATGCTCTTTTCAGATTTATTATGCTTTATAGTTGACACTGAAAGACGTCGTCACATCAGCATTACAAAGAAACCCAAAGCTTTTATCAACAACACAAAAATAATTGAGTTGTAGTCCATTAATTATGTATTTTTTTTTTTTGTCTTTTTTGTCTTTTTTTTTTACTATTGGTTCTTTTGGAGATGACTGAAAATCTCACGGTTGAAATAAGAATAGCATGAATAGCACAGTATTCAACTACCTTCTGAAATACTGAAAACATCTGCACAAAATCTATTTCAATTACAAATTGTGCCTCACATTTAATGGTATGTACCTCTAAATCAATTTCAAATCATATAAAAGTGAATTCCAAGGTAATCTGCAAATCACGGTGAATTATTATTTCAAAAAAGGAATCAGTATCATGGTATCAACAGTCTCTTGAGTACATCACAGTTAAATATATTATCCATTCACAAAGTAATTGTAGCAATCACTCATTGAAAATACGTTGCTGGTCATCAAAGTGTTTGAAACTGTTTGACTGTTTCTCAAAGGCCACATGGACAACACAGTAGACACCCAGCAGCTATAAGTCTTTTCATTCTGGTCCAGTGCAGATTTTTGTTGTTGTTGTTGTTTTTTCATTATATGTGACCCTGGTCCACAAAACACAAACACAAAATCACATGGGTCAATGTTTTTAAAATTGAGATTTATAAATCATCTGAAAGCTTTCCATTAATGAATGGTTTGTTAGGATAGGACCATTTTTGACCGAGATACAACTTTTTGTAAATCTGGAAAAAAGTCAAAACATTGAAAAAATCGTCTTTAAAATTAGGGTTAGTCAACTTGTACTTTGCAAATGTCAATTTATGTTCCCAATTGTCAATTTATGTTCCCGATTATGCTCACAAATTGTCAATTTTTCACCCACAAACATACAATTTTTTTATATATATTTACGGTAGAACCTTTACAAAATATCTTCATGGAACATGATCTTAACTTAAGATGATTAATCATCTTAATGATTTTTTGGTATGAAAGAAAAATCGGTAACATTTCCTTTTACAGTCCTGTTACCCATGTACATACTATGCACTTATTGTAGTAATTACAATTACTGGGTAATAACTAGGTACTAACCCTGAACCTATCCCTAAACCTACCCCTAACCCATGTACTTACCTTATATTAGCCAGTACTTTCTAGGTAAGTACTGTACTGTAAAAGGAAGTGGTATGAAAAATCAATCATTTCAACCCATTCAATGTATGGTTGGCAATTTTCCACAAATATACCCGTGCAACTTGTGATCCAGGGTCACATATTTCCATTCAGTGTACATTTCCCACTTTTAAAGTATTATTTTTAAAGCCTATCCACGTGGAGATGCATTAATCTCCTTTAACACACTATGTGATTTTTCCTCAGATTTGCTTCTCAATGGCGTTGAAGCCAGTACTAATAGACACAACAAGAGTACTAGTCTTTGTGGAAAAAAATTATAGATTTAAAAAAAGGAGTTGGCAGTGGGTCAGAGCTCTGAGAAAACAGACTGTAATCTCTGTCTTTGTTTAGATGTCTGTTTCCTTCAGGCCATAGCACTCCGTGAGGTCGTAGATCTGGTAGCCGCTCTGATCGGCGCAGTCATTATAAATCCCAATTGAGACCGTGTCGATCTCTGTCCGGGCCAGAGGAGACGTGCTACTCTTCCCCGTACCGTTCTTAATCTTATTGGAAAGGTTGTTCATTTTCTCCTTCAGCTGGAAGGAGGACTTCTGTAAAGGGGGGAAGAAGCTCCAGCCCTTCAGACTAAGAGGCCGGCTTTTGCTCTGGCAGGAATATAAAGAGTTACCGCACTGCTCGTGAAAGGGTAATCCAGAGCAGTAGTCTCTGTGCGGGTCCCTCCGGGGACCCCGCATGGCCGTTCTCCAACGCTGATCGTAGAACCGGCGCAGGACGCGGCGCCGCCGCTGGCACTGGCAGCGCAGAAGACGGGTGAAGGCGCGCTGGAATTCCTTGCTCGAACAGGGGTAAATTACGGGGTTAATGCAACTGTTGAAGTAGCCCAGCCAGAAGATTACTTTGAACACCATCTCAGAAGGCTTCAGAGCTGGGAAGAAAGATCCTGAGGACACAAATAAAGGGAGAGAGAGAGAGAGAGAGAGGTAGAGAAATATTTAGTTGTCGGCTCAAGAGAGATTATGTACATGGGAATTAATGCCGTGCCTCAAGTAACTTTAGCCTGAAGCTACCATTCTCCTCCCACGCGCTAAAAAGTTCAAATCTTCAGAAAAAGTTCACCGTTTAAAACCATGTGTGCCTAATTATACCCAGCAGACAGATTATATACTTAGTTTTTTTTTCCTCCAGGAGAAATCTAATGCACACGGCATATCTTATAACAGTATTTTTGAAACCAGTTCTATTTTTTTTTTTCTGTCTGAAGAGTGGGAGCAATGCCAATATGTCCTTCCCAAATTCTCCTCCAAACCAAACAAGCGCTATTAACATTGATAGACTGGACACACAAGCCCATTAGTCATCACAATCAGCATGAACTGCCGCTTCCAAATCAATTTTTCTGCAGTAATCTCTCAGCAAAATATATTAAACGAAACAAATGCAAGGCCGAGACTTGATTTTATCAATTGGGAATTGATTGGAACGTGAAAAGTTGGTGGACCTAATGTAGGTCTGATAAAACATTGCCACTTTTCGCATATTGGTTAATGTTACCCAATGTGACGTCAGCGGAAATAGAAAATAGTATCAGGAGAGGCAAGTTGTGGCATTTTGATCAACGATTATGAATACAAATAGTTTGCTTTGGAGTAACATGCACCAGCGAATCAATAAGTTCACAATAAGTGCCCCCTTAAATAGAGGGTATCCCAACAATTAACTTGCTTTTAAAAAATAAAGGCACTTTATTGGCCTTGATATTTCCAGGAAGAACCTTTCAAATCCATATAACCTTTCCAATGTGCAAAGAAATGTGGAAAATTGTGTTTTAGAATATTAAAATGTTATTAAGAAATAAGAACTGTTCAGTGAAAGGTTCTTTGGAAACCCAAGAATCTTTCTTGTAAAGCTTTTCCTCAAAACAACATAAATCATATCAGTCTTGGCCCCTCATTAACTTTCATTGTATCGCCCATAAAAATCCAAATATTTTCTTTTGTTTTCTACTGATTTGGAGAGACATTTTTGGACTATTTCTTTGTGGACTCTCTCATTTGTGGACTATCCCTTGCAAATAGGCTAAATTGGATTGGAAGAGCATATTTGATGGATCTCTGTCTACATTGTGTTGTGTCTGTCTTCACATTCTCTCCTCCCACACATACACATCTAAACTCCGACAGACACTACATATGTTGCCAATACCTCCTCCTTGCTTTGCTTTCCCCCCAAGAGGAGTGAGAGGAGCCTAGCACATAAAACAGTTGTCATCGCCCATGCCGTGCATTTCAGTGTCACGAGAGGTCAGAGCCCCTCCCTGTCAGTGGATATGTATAAAAATAGCACCAGAGGGAATAGATAGTGTGGATGGACTGGGAGTAGTGCAGTCTTGTTGAAACAGTTTTTGATGAACAAAGAGATATGCGCTGCTCTCCCTCATGTGTACAGGTCGTAATTTGGAATTTGAGATGAAAGCTTGGACAGCTCCTTATTGGTAATTGTAGTGATTTTGAGATACACCAGGCAGGATGTTTGGTAGCTACTGAGAGAAAACTCCCTTTTTTGCTCCATGTACAATGTAGCAGTCCCTATTTTGGTGCAATCTGGAATAATTCTGATATTTTCACTGCAGAAAAAGTGGATCTTCGGACTCTTTTAGGTCGGATTTTAGGGGAACATCTGAGGAATTCTGCTAAAATAATTTAGAAAAGCTGGTACCTGAAAGCATAATCAGTCCGAACGATGTGTATACATTTCTGAATTATGGATGCAGATGGCCTAATTATAAGTTAAGGAAATGGGTTTAGTCGGCACTTATTATTAAAATATCCAAATTGACATTCATGTTCTTTACACTCTTAAAAATAAAGGATTCAAAAGGGAGTTTTCAGAGTGATGTCATGGAAGAACCTCTAAGGAACCTTTGAGGGAACAGTTCTAAAAATATTTTTTTTCCTTAGCGTGAAGAACATTTGTAATAATTATGCAGCAGTCAGAGGGGCAATTCACTTAAAGCTGTAAGCTGAGAGGGTTGAATGTGTTCTTGTGGTCTTGATTTGCATTTGCCTGGCACGAGCCACTTGAGCTATAGTGTTTTGGCTGGTAGCCACACGTTAAAGCCTTCTCATCTTATACTGATCACCTGAAGAAATATTTTCGCGGCCTGTGGCTATTGGCTGCATGTGTAAGTTCCTGTCAAGCTGCAATATGTGTCAATTTGAATGAAATGTATTAGAAGCTAACATGACAGCTTGGTTCAAAAAAGTGAAGGATCATTTTGACAGGCAGACAATGTTTTTCACAGATTTGAATATGATATTACATATTATTTTTCTGCTAGGTTTATAATCAGAGACACTATTAAACATTCATTAAAACTCACAAAGCACAATCACAGTAGTCTTATACAAGATGGTATTGGTGAAACTGAAGTCATTGAGAAATTTGTAATGTTGCATAATCTTACATTGCCAGTATTGCAAATATATCATATAACACATATAAGTAACCTGAAAAAAGACCCATTCTTTGGACTTTGGATTATTTACTCTCAAATTACTACAATGACAATGTTTACATTACATATTGAAGTATATATATATATATATATATATATATTTAGGACAGCAGCAAATCTCCTAAATAAATGGTCTTAAGAGATGGGATTTAGGAAACTTCATGGCCAAGTAATACAGATTCAAATCAAAGTGAAATGAAATTCATAGTATTGCATAATATTTGCCAATTCATTGCAAATACAGTATATCATAAATATGCAATATACTATCTCAAAACACACATGAATGTGTTGTATTTACTTGGATTAATCAGTTACACACTTTTAAATTACTATAACGTCATGATAATGTTTTTAATTGAAATCAGTAAACCTGGAGATGCATTTATCAGTCACATAATATTTACCTATGTAATTTCAAAAACATATTCTTTTTAGGAGTGCAGAAACATCTGGTTCTGTTTGTTCACCAGAAGTAAGACTTTCACTGTCCAGCACAAACATATGCCATATGCAAAATATTCCCCTGATCCATCACAACAATAGCAGTGTGGACATGCTGTTGCTAAAAATATAACCGTCATTAAGAGGGTGTTTATTAACAGGCTGGTTGTACTTATCTCACTCATTGCACAGCTATACTCACAAAAATAGACGCACATTAAACGCTGATTTGGGTTGAAATGATTTCCTAATCTTATGTATATACCTTAAAACTTCCAACAAGAAAAAAAAAATGGTCCAGGAAAAATATGAACAATATCACAGCAATGTTAATACTGAAGAGGTCATTTTCACCAACTAAATTGCAAGATGGCGTCAGTTTTGCACCGGTTACAGTTACCGAGTGGACGGATATAACGTGCATGGGAATTTAGGAAATATCAGGCTTCTGAATGACCAATCAGTATTTAAAAATGACATTTTTAACCACCACAATATATAATACCATAAGTAAATACAATATTCTAAATGCCTTGACAATGAAACAAGCTCTAACGCCATTCAACCCTTCATTTGTAATGCAGCGACTCACAGTTCGTGCTTCTCCAGTGTACGTGTGGATCTAAGCCATGTCGTATCCCTCCTCTGTCCTGGTGGCTGGCTGCTTCTGAGGCTTTGGAAAACGAAAGCACCCTCTTTAGCTCAACTTGTTAATTGCCGTGATTAAGGCAGTGGAGCGTTGGACAAAAAGAGGTTAGGGACCAGAGTGAAAGTGCCTCCTTCCCTTTCTCAGGCTGAATAAAGTCAGGCCCCTCTTCCTAAACCATCTTGATCCCAGAATTTCACCATTACCACATGTATATCTTGCCAGAAGATGTTATCAACCACTGCTGCCCTATTTTTCCCCACAGTGACTGCGAGTGGAATACCAGCAGGGACTGTCAAAAACCGCACTTTTGGAATACCATGGAGATGGATGGGATGGTTGGTGTGGGGGGAAACCAATAAAATGTGGGGAAAGTACAATGCCTGCCATGTTTTTTTATTTTTAATTCTTTTTAATGTAGCCTAAATTTTATTTATGTCAGTAAATTATCAATAATAGTCAACATTGCAATCATTACTATTTGTTTGTTTAGATACTTAAGATGGACCCATTTTGTGTCAGTCAGCAACACCAAAATTCCTTTAATGTAATGGAAAACTTTTTTCTTCCTTCACTAGCACATTTTTTAGCCTCTGTGACATATTCTTGGGTAATGGTTACGTGACTGGAACACTGAACGTAATGTCTTTCTTTCAGTCTCCCATGGGTGGTCTTTGATTGACCACATAAAACATCTCTGCATTATGAATATGCCAAACATCTTTCTTTTTTTTTCTATGCAGGATTCGGGTATAGTTATTAACCGTGGGATGCAGAACTTAATAACTAAGCATTGCACAACTTTTTGTTTTTCATGGGGTTTGGTGAACATTTTGACATGATTGTGTGTTTTATAGAAGCACGTTTGAAACTTTTGGATGTAGTCCTTTTTGTGAGCATGTGATTATTGTGTTGAGTTAATATTGTACAATCATGGTAATATAAATAAATGGACCACAACTCATTTTTGGCTGCTTGAGAACATGGAAACCCGAATAGAGGCGTGAGGGAATATTATGAGATAAGATCTGTGCTGTCCCAAATAAACTGTTATTGACTGATTGCAAGCATGATTCAAGGACAAAGGACATTTTTTATGATTTTTTTATTCCACTGCTTTATAAAAAGTAGTTTATAAACTTTAAAAGGGAGGATTGCGCATTAATCTCTCTCAAGCCTCAGTCTTTGCTTTTTTTGTCAGCATGTGCACTGTTGCACTATCCAATCCATACACATCCAACATGTGCCATTATGTACTTGAATCCCACAGGACATAATGTTCTCCAAAGCAAAGATCGTTGCACTTTGAAAATATAGCCCGTCAAGTTTAGCAAATCAACACAATCTCCCCTCTGGTTGAGCTGCTATCAAATCCTGACCAAAACACCACGCCAAAGAGGCTACCATCTAATTTATTAACTGTGAATGTATCCTAATAGAAAAAGTGATGAGAGGAACTGTTTTCGTTAGTAAGAAAAGCGCAAGTAATTAACATTCAGATAGAAGCTCTGTGTGCTTTATATCAAGATACGCATTTCGCACATTTTTGTTTCCCTGGCCACGGAGTAGCCAAAGCATGAACACAGTAAAATAGACGTGTATTTCATATGCATTACAATGTGTAAAACATTGGTTACTTTAACTGATCAACAAACACACTATCTTTTGTAATTTGTTTACGTAGCCTTTGGCAGATGCAGAAAATAATTTGCTTAAATGCATTTTTTTTAAAAGTTACAAAATATATAAAACAGACAACGAAAAATATATAATCCATAAACAATGGATTATCTAATGCATTTTCTTCTGGAACCAATCATGTTTCCTAATTAATTGTCTCAGTAAAATCATAGCCTAAAAAATAAATTAATTAAAAAAAAGTATACTTAGAAAACACATTTCTTAGCAAGATCGAATGTTCCTGCAATAATTAAATATGCTATGTTCAAACTTCCAACTGTCCAGTAAAACAATCAAAATACTGTTGCAATGTTATTTTATTCAGTATATGGGATCTTATTTGTTTATTATAAGATTTTTGTTTAATTCCATTATTATGCATGGCAAATTTCAATATAAATTTGTACACACATTACACTGCCACAATAATTTGTCATTTCTACGCGTTGCAATGACATGTAATTTAATTTGGATTTACTTTTAAACAAATTGTATAACAAGACGTTTTAAAATGTTGCTCTGTAAATAAAACAAAAACAAAGAATAACTCGTATACATACCCAAAGGCAAGACGAAGAAAAACGGTAGCCAACAGAGAATGAACATGCCCACGACGATGGCGAGAGTTTTAGCAGCTTTCTTCTCCCTGGAGAACTTCATGAGTCTCACGGACAATGAACTTCTGAACGGGTGATTTTTGGTTTTCGAATCGTCCGGAATGTTCCTGCAATGTATCCTCAGCACCACGTCCATTGATTTATCTCTCTCCCGTTTCACACCCGCTTCCAAACTTTTTGTAGTCCTGCGGGCCACGATGTATACTCTAGTGTACATGACTAAAATCACCATGAGTGGAAGGTAGAAGGAGAATAAGGAGGAGAACAGAGCATAACCTGGTTCCTCCGTGATTCTGCAGATGCTTTCATCAGAAGGTGGAGGTTCTTTCCACCCCAAAAGCGGTCCGATAGAAATAACCATTGAAGAAACCCAGACCACCACGAGTATGACACCTGCTTTCCGTTCAGTCATGATAGTGGGGTATTTCAGACAGTATTTGACCCCGATGTACCTGTCTATGGATATAATGCACAAACTTAAAATCGACGCCGTGCAACAGAGCACATCCACCGCTGCCCAGATGTTGCAGAAAACCCGACCGAACACCCAGCATCCAAATACCTCCAGGGACGCAGAGAACGGCAGGACAATGATACTCAGCAGAAGGTCCGCTATGGCCAGGTTCACAATGAAGAAGTTGGTGACCGTCTGCAAATGTTTGTTGCAAAGGACCGAGAGAATGACCAAAATGTTCCCCACGATCGCCAGCAAAATGAAGACGGCAAGAAAGATTCCCACACCGATGACTTGAGAGTCGAGGGCGATCCCCTCACAGGAGGTGTTGCTGATGTTGGAGAGAAAGTCTGAGGGGAATTCATTCTTGCTCTCGTTCAGCAGTTTAGAAAATGTCATTTTAAAACTCCATAAAGACGACTTTTACTGGCTGGGTCCGATGGTGTTGGCTGGTCGGTTCATGGTGAGTTTCATCATCATGCTCATCATCATCATCCTCATCACAGTTGGCAGTTGTCTTCAGATTGTTCAGCTGGATCCGTTACTTTGTGAGCCTATTTATAAAATGTTGCATGTTAAACATCTCGTTATACCTACACTTTCATGTGATGGCATAACCTGAAAAGTCATGTGATCTAAAACATGTTTTGAGGTAGAATAAACTAACAAGCAACTAACAAGCTCTTAAGTCAATAAAACCATAGTGCCGATGCACTGCAGGTGTTATGGAGATGCATCTTCTGGTGGCATCCTCAGCGACCACTCTAAAACTGCATTACAGTGGCTCAGTGTGGACCCCAGTGCTCCAGTCCAGGTCTCCTCCTCCTCCAGCTCTGAAAACTTGGTGACGCGTCCGCACATTTGATTCATTTCTTCATATGACCACTAGAGGGTTCTGTATTATTGTGGCACAGAGAAGGACTGTATTGTGCTATATGACTTTGGATCATTCAGATAACACTAATGGGTAAACAGTCATATCAAGTCAGATTTATTTGTATAGATTTTTTTTTCAATATATAAGGTTTTAAATAAGCAGGTTTACTGAAATTCATCACTATATCCGAAAAAAATCCCTAACTTAAATTTCAATTATTAGATTAGATTTTGATGGTAAGCATGCTCTTTCAGTTGCAAGAAATTACTATTTTACAGTCCAATAAAAAATGACTGATATACATGCAGTAGTCAGTAAAGCTTCCATCACTGTCTCCTGATATTCAATCACATTGAACATAAAACAATATTTTAGATTTGTGTGAAAACCCCGCTTTTCCATTTGAATTTCTGGTGAATCTTTCGGTGAAATCCTTCTGTGAAAAGATAAATAGGCCTGCCACATGTTTTGTGCGTGTGAAAACTTTTTTTTTTTTTTTTCATGACAGCTTTTTGAGTAAAAACAAACCTCTGAAAGCACTATGCATTCCCAATGGCATTCCCAATGACTCTGTGCAGCTGCCAAGCTGCCACCAGTAGGTCCAGATGCATGCTAAAAGCCGAGGGGACACTGAAGAGCCACATGGTCCCTTGATGCGAAGTTGGAAGTTGTGAGGAAGTGATTAAACCCAAAGAAACTGTAAAATGGTACTGGGATACACATTAAAGGTGCAGTAAGTGATTTCCGAGAATCATTGTTGAACACTGTTGATATATGAAATCAACCCATACGCCCCAAAAATGTACAAACACGCAATGCAAGAGTGGATCCCAGCAAACAAATTTAGGTTCTGGGAACGTTAGTTTGCTGGGATGTCTTTTTATCATAGCTGAAGTGAAGCAAAATAAAGCTTCATGAAAAATAAAGCAAATATGTCAAGAAAGAACAAAAAATGAACATACAATACACAAGTAAATACCAGTAAGAGTTCATTGTTGGTTGTTAGCAGCACACACTTCAAACCAATGTTTCTCACATATGGATCAGAAATAACACAACCTCGGCCCTCAGTTTTCAGGCATTCACGCACCACTGAAAAGCTTTTCTATTAACACGGATCCTTTATGCGCAAGACGTTTGATTTTGACTTCTTAATTTCAAAAGGCTACATCTTAAAAGTGATAAAAGATAGAGACTTTCTGTAAATTAGAGAAATATTAAGGATGACCCAGAGTTTACGTAGGGATTACATTTCCCCATCTAATTTGCATATCATGGCATCATATGGTGGCAGAAATTTTGGATTATAGAATTTTCATGAAAAGTGTTTAAATGATAAAATGCAGCATAATGTCCCTCACCCTCTGTATGCTATTTTGCACAATACTGAATGCTCAGAGAGTAGTAAATAGTAAACAAACTTTGTAAATCAGTACTAACAAATGGTAGAAACAAACCGAATGCATGTAGCAGTTGGCCTTTTGCTGTAGAGATTTTCCATTCACTACAGGGCAGGCACTCTAATTCCATGTGTGGGGCACATATATATTATTCATATGACACACAAACACAAGTACAAGACCTGTTTAGTTCAAAAGCTCATTTGCCACGGCAAGGCACAGATCGAGTGAGATGATACGAGCAGCACGGCCAGAACGGCACAGCTCAGACGACAGTCATTGTCATTGCGACTCCCCACCATTGCCCCCTAACTCCTATGAATATACTTCGACCTCGTCTAACATGCGCATAGTATTAGACAAAGTCTCTACCACAATATTGTCGTCACAGTTGTGGAAAGGCTCTGAAAAAATGTCTCACTCGCACACTAGCTCTGCTTTTGATCGCACTGATTCAATGAACTCTAACTCGAACATTTTGTATAGAAGCATGACGTTTTTTTTTTTTTTGTTTGTTTGTTTTGTTTTTTGAGTCAGGGATGACGTATAACATGTTTCCCATCTAGTGGAGGGTGATTCAAATGAAATTTGACACCCAATTTGACAAAATCTAGAGTAATAAAGAGTAAACTTGACCGTGGAGCTCTTGCCTGATCATAACCCTTCTTGTTCCAGAAATATTCCTCTGACATTTTCTCTTTGGTAAAGTTTCTCCAAATCACAAATCTTCCAATCTTGCTCACTTTCTTTCCTCCCCCATTATGAGCGCATACACCCCCTGCAACTGATTGGCTACAAGTATGCTGTGGTGCTCGGTCTGATCCATTTTTATTAATCGCTTACTGTACCTTTAAGAACATGCAAGACACCACAGTTGACTGCCAATCACAGTCAGTGTTTGAATATTTTATGATGCTTTTCAGGTAATCATCACTGATGGCATGAGACACTTATATTAAAAGCTGAAAATTAAATTCTACATGGATGTTTTGAGATCTAGTCACATGATCAATACATGTTGCAACATCAAACTTGATAGTCATCTTAAGATTTGTAAGTTGACTGAATATAAGCAGACATTCTGTTGTAGGGATGAATCTGTTGTCTGCAGTGTTGTATGCAGCTCTTCCAAGTTCTTTTCCTAATCCTGAGCAAAGAAGCTTAGTTCCAGCTGAGAAGAGGAAACAAAGGCTACAATTCACACATGATCACCAAATTCTGAATAGCTAAAATTGGATAGACACTGCATGGCTTGCAAAATCCTGCCTGCGAAAGGCAGATGGAATGGTCAGAATCTGGCACATCATAAATCCGCACATCCTTCCTGCCTTGCGTCAACAGGGCACAGCGGTGACGCTGTGTAACAGGCTGGAGAGGTTTACTTGTGACACATTAGACCAACCGGCCATCAGCGAATGACGCAGGTTGACTGAGCATTGCTTTGATTATGTGCATCCCCATATAGCCACAAACTACCCCATTTTCAAATTTACAGCCTTCAAAGGTTTTAAGTATGATGTGAAACTGCATGAAGTGAGTCAGCATGGACACAAATCCCCAAGGAATGTTTCCAGTGCTCTTCTAAAACCATAATGC